AAATGGATATAAACAGAGCTAACTAGCCTCAAAAATTGAGTGTGATTCCTCTGAAAAGTTAGCTACCTTAAAAAATATAGCCAGTTAAACAACCATAACTGCTAACAAGAATAGGATACAACAATTTAAAGTCTCTGAAAATTGTCCTAAGGTTACATAGCAAATGGAGAAATATTTATGCAAATAAAATCTACGAACTCTAGGTAAGAACAGTTAGCCTCTGTGGCATTTGAACAATGACCTGTCCTCTCCTCCCCACCTCAGATGTTTAAAAAAGTAAAGGAAGGTAAGATAACTTCTCCTCAAATAGAAAATATCAGTGAAGAGATAGAAGTGTAACTTCTAAGAGCAACCAAAGGACAATTCTGAACTTGAAAAGTACAATAACCAAAATAAAAATTTCTCTAGAGCCAACAGTAGATTGGAGTTGGCAGGAGAATCAGCAAACGTAAAAAAAGTTATCAATAGTGACTATTATAAATTCAGAGAAACAGACATCATGAAGTGCACCAACATAGGCATCTTGGGAGCACCAAACAGAGAGGAGAGGAGGGAGGAGAGTATATTTGAAGAAATAATGGTTAAAATTTCCCCAAATTTGGTGAAATCCACTAATCCACATATCCAAGAAGCTCATTAGACTCCAAGTTGGGTAGACACAAAGCGATCCACACCCAAATATGTCCCAGTAAAGATGTTGAAAGAAATATCTGAAAGCATCGAGAGAAAAGTGACTACATAAATGAGAATCCCAATAAGATAAATAGTTGAGTTCTATTCTTTATCTATAAAGCCAGAGGATAGTGGATGACATATTTAAAGTGCTGAGAAATAAAAACTGTAAATCAGCAATTTTATAACAAGAAAATCTTTTGAGAATGAAGGCAAAAGAAAGACATTCCCAGATAAACACAAGTGAGGGGATTTGTTACTAATAGGCCTGTCTTACAAGACATAGGAAAGGAAAAATGTAAGGTTGTAATCAAATGACACCAGCCATTAATACAGATCAACACAAAACAACCCCAGAGTACTGGTAAAGATAATTATGAGATATACTATAACTGCATTTTTTCTCTTAACTGACTTAAAAAGCAATTATATAAATCAATATGTACATAATTATATTATTGACTTGTAATGTATATGAATGTAATATATTTGATCATAGTGTCATGAATGAGGCAGGTAAAAACAAAGTTGTTTTACAGTAAGAAAGTGATACCAGCTGATATCAAATATACAGGAAGAAATAGAAGCAAAAATGTTTAAAAAGATTCATTAAAAAACTATGGACATGTTGGTTTTTTTCCATATCTTCTCCCACATTCTCTATTTATTACATATGTAGGTAGTGTATGTTTAACAGATAACACAGAAAATGGAAGAGGAAATAGAACCTATTTAGAACTAATGCTTCGATATTTCACTGAAATATTAGATTTATACTGTATAAATCTAAAGTAGATTCTGATAAGAGGTATATTTATAAGCCCTTGAGCAACTGTTAAGAAAACAATTAAAAAATATAGAAAAGTTAAGGAAATTAAAATGTTACACTAGAAGTCACTGAATAAAAAGGAAAACAGTAATGAAGGAACAGATGAGCAAAAACAACATAAGATATACGGGAAACTGAAATTAAAATGGCAAATGTAAATCTAGAGATACCAGTAATGACATGCAACAATGCAATCAAAAGGCAGAGACCCAGGACAGTGCTCCCTGTAGGAGACAGATACGGATTCTATCCAAAGATACAAATAGTTAAAGTAAATGGAGTGAAAACAGATATACTGTGTACTATCAGCAACCTTGAGTGGCCATTCTCATATCAGATAATTAGATTTTATGAGAAAAACATTACTACAGTTAAAGAGGAACATTTTATGATAAGTGAAAACTGTATCAGAAAATCATGGCAATTATAAGCATGTCACCATGTAGAACAAACTCCAAAGTAAATGAATCAGAGACCAAGTAAATAAAGCAATAATATTGAAGTGAGCAACCAACAATTTAACAATCATAACTGCAAGTTTCAGTGTGTGGAACAACGAGGCAATGGAAGAGTTAAGCGGCAGTTTAACTCAGCCCCACACACCTCACCTGACGACGACGGCACATACGCTCTTTCCCAGCACACACTGCTCATTTTCCACCACAGCCATATGCTCCACCATAAAACAAGCCTCCCTAGATTTCAAAGGATTAAACATTACAAAGTGTGTTCCAACCACATTGGAATGAAGGTAAAAATCAATAACAGAAGGAAATTTGGGAAGTTCACAAATACGTGAATTAAACACCACACTCTAAACCAATGGGCCAAAGAAGATAAACATGGTAACAGAAAATACTTGAAGAAGAATGAAAACACACAACACATCAAAACTTCAAGGATGCAGCAGAGGTGGAGTTGTGTAGGTGTAAAGGTTTATATTAAAAGAGGAACAAAACATCTCATCAGTAACTTAACCTTTCACCTAAAGGCACTGAAAAAAGAAAAAGCAGAAAGGAAAGAAATGATAAATAATATAGTGGTAAAATAGAATAAAGATATTTTAAGACATTGATAAAAGAATAAAAGAATAGAAAAATAGATAAAATCAACAGAATCAAAAGCTGGTTTTTTGAAAGGAGCAAAATTGACAAACCAAGAAAAAAGAGACCCAAATTACTAAAATCAGGGATGAAAGAACATAACTACAAAGTTTACAGGAACAGGTAAGGATTATAAAGAGAATAATATGAACAACTGAATGCCAACCAATTAGATAACTTCAATGCAATGGACAAACTACCAAAACTGACTTAGGAAGAACTAAAAAATCTGAATAAATCAACAATAAGTAAAGAGATTGAATTACTAATTAAAACAACCCTTACAAAGAAAAGCCCAGGCTCAGATGGCTTTGCTGATGAATCTATGAAACATTTAAAGAATTAATTCTCCCCAGACTCTTCAAAAAAGTAAGAGAAGAGGAAATGCTTTTCAGTTCATCCAAGAAGGCCAGTATTTCCCTGATAGCAAAAGCACACAAGAATATCACCAGAAAAGAAAATGGGAGACCACTATCATGTGAATATAGATGAAAAATTTCAGCAAAACAAATAAAATCCAGCAATATATAAAAAGGAGACCACAGGAGATTTTCCCCAGGAATGTGAGGTTGTTATCCAACCACTGTGACGTACCACATCACCACAGGGAAGGACAAGAACCAGGGGATCATCCCAATGGATGCAGAAGAAGCCTTTGACAAAATCCAATGCTCTTTCATGATAAAACCACTTAAATTAGAAACAGAAGGGCAGTTCCTCAACCCGGTCAAAGACGTCTACGAAACACTCTCAGTTAGCAGACTTTATGATGAAGGACTAAATGCTCTCCCCCTAAAATTATAAACAAGACAGAATTGTCCACTCTCACCACTTCTATTCCATGCTGCACTGGAAGTGTTACCTAGGACAATGGGCAAGGCAGAGAGATAGGAGGTATCTGGATTGAAAAAGGGAAACTATCTTCATTTGTAGGTAACATCATCAAGCATATAGAAAAATCCCAAGGAGTCCATTTAAAATACTAGTACACCTGAGTTCAGCAAGGTTGTGTTCAGCAAGGTTGTAGGATACCAGATCAGTTTATTTGTGCCTCTGATTTGGGAGTTTCTTTGTGGGCAACCCTCTCTGTCAAAAGCCTTATCTTGAGCTGTAACCTGCTACCCTATTAATACCTCCTGACATGCACACACTGACCTCACTCCTGTTTGCCGGAGCTCTTTAAGATACTTCTAGTCCTCTACTCCTTTCCTGGCCACCTTTCTCAGTTTCTTTATGTCCCATGCTTTACACCCTCCTTTTTCCCCTTTGGTTGCCACCTCCTACTTCTAGATGACATAAAAAATATTTTCCTAATAGAAATTGAGAATAAATATAAAGAACTCTTTTGGTCTCAGTGTGGTTCTGTGGTACCGTATGATTGCATTAGGTTGTTTAGAAATGACCCCTGCTCTACGCGAGTTAAAATGAACTCACTCATGGTGCGTGAGGAAAACACGTAAGTCTCTCCAAACATTGCCAAGTGCTGTTGGCATTTCTGGGCCTAAGGTTTATATGTTTATCCCAATCATATTTTGCATGTTGGGTTCAGCCCATACCTGTAGTGTCTTTTTATCTCTTCTTCTCTAATACAGAAAATGCCCTTTCTACTGTGAGCATGTCTCCTGTGTCACCTGATGAAAACTGACTGGAAACTTCCAAAAACAGAGTGCTATGACAAGCCACTAGCTACTTTTATTCAAGATGATATCAATATTATAATTACTGCCACTGTGATGACTTTTAAAACTAGCTAGGAACCTAGCAGTGCTCGACTCATGTAAGTCATACCTCTCTCCCCTTTATCATAAAGATGTTGTTCACATGGACTTATCAAAATCTCTTTTAAAAAATGAGTTAGTACCATTTTGTTTAAGAAAAGCATACTCTGTTCTGGAAATCACAGATGCCATAGAAAAGTGCGTGTAGAGAACTAAAGGATGCAGAAATAAAAACTTGAATAGAGACTGGGAAATGTATTGCAGTATTTCACAGGTGATAGAAGTTATTCTGGGAGTGTCACAGACCCAGGTCACTAGCATAGCTGACGGTGGTGCAGAGTGTCACATGCTTGTGATCCATTCCTTATTGAACATGTCTGTCTGTTTTCACAGGCCAAGTGGAAAGACTAAAAATAATAAAGCATCCTAGAAGGAGAAATAGAATCTAAAGAATTAACAATTTTTGGTATTACACCTTTCAAACAAACCCAGTATTGTCACACACACAAAAAAATGTTTTTCCTCCAAAGCTTACTACAACTTTTGAAATAAAGTTCATATACAAAATTTGTATTTTCCATTTATAGGTTTCTTGGGATACTATGATCAAGAAAGCGAATGAAGGGGAACAGTATCCATTTTTTCCTGGTTAGGGAGTAATAAGCAAACGTGAACTACCTGTGGGCATCTGGCAGCGCTGTAGCAGTCTCCCGCTGTGGCGAATGGAACTGCTTTTCCATATGTTGTCTGAGCAAATAGGAGGTCTGTAGCTAGAATATAATACACAGCACTCTTTAGCATTGAGATATTTGTTTCCAAATGTCTTTGCAAAACATGAAGTGCATATTATATTCTTAAACACATTTATATAATTCAAAATTTAAAGCAAAAGTGCTATATAATTATAGTACATAACATAGATGAGGCTCTCAAATAATTTTTCTTTAGTACAAAAATGTTAATCTCATAAATTGCCCTATAAAATGGCAGGCACATCTGTAAGTCAAAATTTTTTTAAACAAAGTGCTTTATTATATTTCATATCATAGTGAACATCTAAAATCAAGTGAGGTCAGGTAAAAACAAAATCACAGGAAAAAACATTACTTAAAGGTAAATAAATTATTACAAAGCAACACATAATTTCAGGGTAGCAGTCCAAGTTGGAGGTAAACATTTGGGTCTGTCATCTAAGAGGTGTTATTTGAAATCTACAAATTGAATGAGATCCTTAAGGGAATGTTGGAGCCTGAAATTCTTTAGCACTCAGTGTTGTGGAAGGTGAAGAGTAATTAGCCAGGTTGAGAAACAGTGACAAAGACAGGAGAAAGAATGGCCGAGGAAGGAACAAAACAATGAGTGTGGTGTCCTGCAAGCTGAACGCTGCTGATGGATCCAGTTAGACGAAAACCAAGAATTTGTCATTGGATTTAGAGAAATGAAGGAAGAATTGGTGATATAAGAAAGAAAGGAAAGTTTGCTGAAATAATGTTCTTATGTAGGTAAAAAGTGATGAGCCTAGCAGGGGCGGCCTTCCATCAGAGCAGGAATGACTCACCCACAGCCACCGGTTAGAAGGCAACGTCTATAGTGAGCATGTAGGTAGGTTAGTGGCTGTCGCAGTAGTAGTTGGTGGAAATTCCCTTCTGGCTCTTATTTTCTCAGTGAAATAAGAAGTAAGGTCATTGCAGACAACTGTGCTTGAACAACAATAAAACAATTTTTAAAAAAGATCATTAGCATGGAGTGACATAAGTGGAGCATTAGAAATTTGAAGCTAGAAGAGAACATGTAAGTTAGACATTTAGGAGAGTGGGGGAGGGAATGAATGAGGGAAGTGCAACAGGATTACACAGGAGCACGAGGGTCCATGTAAGCCCAGTAGTTACACATTTAAAGAGAGAACAGTCATAAGGGCAATGTGCTGTTTATCACAGAAATTCATGGTGCAACTGCAGAGCAGGTGAAAAGTTTAATTTAATCAAGGCTGGGTTTTTGTCACACAAGTTTGAAGAAGGAAAAGAAAGGCCAGAAAGTTGAAAAGGTTAAACATTGTATCCTCAGGTCCCAGCCCCAATTCCTGGCAAAATGTCAGGTTTCTTTCTTTCTGATAAATTAACGAACACCAACACCTTAATAAACAGCAAGGAAATTACTGAGTGCCCATCATGTGCTCAGCGATGCAAATTACCTGACACACATAATTAAATAATAATGATTATTTATGGAGCATTTACTGTATGCAAGGTATTTACTAGGCATTTTACAAGTATTATTTCTTAATCCTTACTTACCTTCCCATCAAAAAAAGCAGGGGACAGAGAAGGGAAAAGAGAAAAAAAAACAGGAGGGTTTTTTTCTCATTTTACACATAAGGGAATTTAAGCTTAAAGAGATATGTCCAAGGTCACATAACTGGCAGATGGACAGAAAATTTCCACCCAGTCTAACTCGAGTTCATGATCATGACTAATAGTGTAATGCTTCCCCACTGCAGTAATGGCGGGGCTTCAGTAAATGGCAGCCATTAATTATTACTACTAATAGTCATTATCATAGGACTAAAACAGAGATTAGGTATTCGTGTACTATCTCAAAAACATTTCTCATCTCTTTTTATGGCTTATGCATTCTGCTAGGCATTGGTGATTCAGTAGTGATTTAGAGTTTGTACTTCTAAAACTAACTTCTTTGCCTCTTCCTATAGATATGTGACCTCCAGGGTGGTAGGATGCTCAGTGAATGAGGTCTGTCTGGAAAAAGTCCAGTGGCCATTAATATGAGAAAGGGTTACCCAACATTGATGTAACCTGCAGGGGGATAATATGGGGAAGGGTTTTCAGGAACTGCTGTAAAGGACACACGGACACAACCAAGGGGGGCTGGAAGCAAGGAAGGTGGGGGTGGCTGGGGAGGGGGATAAATGCAGATAACTGTAATTGAACCACAATAAAATAATTTTTAAAAAATTGATGTAACCTTGCAGCTGAGAAGAGTGGATTGGAAAGCACATGCATGAACAATGTCACTGAACTGGTCAGTGGGGGCAGCAGACATCACTGAGTGAGCATGTGGACTGTGTGGCCATCACACTCAAAATGACTGAGTAGACCAATAAATCTGCATTGAATTTTGCATTAGGCTCGAATATTCCTCCATGGAAACTATTCTAGTGATTCAGAAAGCCACAGTTTTTGGCCACTGGTAATTGGCAGCTTCATCACGACAGTGTACTCACTCATACATCATGTCTCATGCAGATTTTTTTGGTGAAATATCAAATCACCCAGGTGACCGAGCCCCACTATGGCCCAGATTTGTTGCTCTGTGACTTCTGGCTTTCCCCAAACTAAAATCACCTTTGAAAGAGAAGAGATTTCTGACCATCACCTTTGAAAGGGAAGAGATTTCTGACCATCAGTGAGATTCAGGAAAATACAGTGGGGCAGACGATGGTGTTTGGAAGAACTGTGAGAGATCCCAAGGTGCCTTCTTTGAAGGGGACTGAGAGATCACTGTCCTATATACAATGTGTCTTGTATCTTCTTCAATAAATGTCTCTATTTTTCATATTCCATGACTTGGTACTTCCTGGACACACCTCACATTTTAGGTTTTATAAGTATGTTTGGACCATGTTTTGACCATATTTTAAGTTCCTTCCTAAAAGGCAGCAGGTCCATAGTCTGGGGTCTGTGAACGGGACTTGATCTCCCTGCAATGCCAATTACCAACTGGATGAATTCGGGCAAGTCACTTAACTTCTGTAAGTGCACCTTAATTGCATCACTTACAACAATATGATGCAATTTGCCTCAACTAATTGTTAACAAGATCAAATGAGAAAATTTATGGGAAAATACTTGACAAGTTGTCATCTGAAATTACCTTAAGCCCTGAAATAGTTTATTAACCTCAACAGTTAGTTATGTGGAGATGTTAACTTTATTCTTAATGTAATTGGGGATTTGAAGGCCATATCTTGGAAGGGCACTATCACTATGTATCTTTTTATCACTATCATTACCACTACATTTTTAGTAAGGGTCCCCAAGGTCCATGTCATTGCAGAGGGAGTATGTAGCTAATAACAACAACAACAAAAAAAACAATTTAAGTAACTATCGCCCAACGCTCAACTCTTGGCTATTAGCTATTATATATACCAGTGTATTATTGGAATTTCATTAGCAAAGTGAGATTCAGTACTTACTTTTAATTTGCATAGATGTGAGATCAATTCGTATTTTGCTGAAAACAGTGTGTCCAGCAGCCAGGTAGTCATTTGTACATTCACAGTCTTGCCTCCTACTTCCATTAAAAGGACATTCATATGGATTTTGTAGTCTGTAACAACATTAGAGTATTTTTAGTATTAGGTGAGCTGTCAGCCCACAATGCAGGTAAACTTTGGAAATGGGAAGGTAAAAGATCCACTCCTCAGTATAGGTGACTATGTCTACAAGTTATTAAATGAGAAAGAAAAATCTCACTCAAGGTGAACATATGAAATTATCAATGGGAAATTCAAGACCAGTGGAAAAATAATTCAGCTTCAGTTCTCCTACCTTTTGTTACTGGAATTAATACGATTTCTACAAAAATACACATATGTCTTAAATTCTCGCCTTCTCCGTTCTCCCACTGCTTACCCACAGTATTGTTCTTAGTCCATTTCTCCATGAATACATATTATTACTCAAGTCTTTACGATTGAACGGACGTGGGCAACATCTAACTTAAGTCCTCATATGTCTACCTGCTTCTGATTACATGTGGATGGGTTGAGGAAAAAGGACTCATGGACATGGACAACAGTGTGGTGATTGCTGAGAGGTGAGGGGACTAAATGGTAGTGGAAATAAAAAAATACAATAAAAATTAAATTAAAAAATAAATGACTGGTCCCACTTGAAAGCTATTCAAGTATTATTCTGAATGCTGGAACTTCTGGTTTTCTTGAAGAAATGTTAAAAAAGGCACTATTTGGCCAAAACATATATCATACCTAAAACCATACACTTCAGAAAAGTTGTCTTCTTCTTTGACCAATGATATATACTCCTTGGGGTCCTCCAAGTGCATCCCTGCACAATAGACCTAAAGGGAGAATGCAAACATCTAGAAAAGGTTTCAGAGTCAAAGGTCAGTGTTAAAATCAAATAGGAACTGTTTTAATACCTTTATTATTCTTCCCTCAATGTTAAGGTAATAATCGCCATCCTTGGTAACATTGTTTTTCCCTTGGATTTCTTTGCAGCTGGTAAATGTTTTACCTTCAAAGATAAGTGAAGACAACTTACCAACAATGAACAAATTACCAACACAGCATGAATTTAGTTCAATCATACAAATAGTATTATACTCTTAAAAAATAGGCACTTCATTTTATGTAGCATACGACTACTACAACCATTTACTTTCAAATTTTAATGAAAAATTCTTAGGAACACTTAGGTACTAAGTAGACTTTTAAGTCTATTACTTACAGTCATTGACATAACATTTCTTTTGAGCATCTGGCTTCAAACGCTTTAAACATAAGTCACTGGACTGACCGTTTTCAGCCATGCATCCCACTCTTCTCTCCATTATCCCAGCTCCACAAGTCACTGAGCACTGCAAACAGAGTGAAGTTTGAAGGTAAAGTATATAATGGATCACAAAGCCAGTAAATCCTTTTCTTTTCCAAGTTAGGTCCTTTGGGGACAAACTAATGATCAATTGTAGCTAGACCAACTGTGGATACAGAAATAGCCCCAGAGACTGGAATCCTTGCACATGAGCCTGAATCTGTTATTTCTCAGTTACTGGCTTCTTGTCATTTCAACAGCATATTCTAATTACTTTAAAACATTAATTCATGTTGGTGCATAAGACTATTTCGTTTTTTCTCATTGTTATTTGCTGTTTGTAAAGCAGTATTTACTGGTTTTCTATCCATTACACTGGAAAAGGAATATAGTGCAAGTAACTTCTATTACTCACAGATTAATTTACTTCTTCACTTAACCAAGAAGTGTTTAAGTAACTGCTCAAAATGCAAGCCACTGTGTGAGGCTCTCTGAGCAAGAGCTGTAAGTAGATTATAGTAAGCATAGAAAAAGAGAGAAGATATTTGTACAGTTAACTGATAAAGTGATTTTTAGACAACAGCAATATGAAATAATTCTGGGATCCAGTTAGCCATGTAGATGCATAGGCATCCTACACTTAGAAAGTCTCATTCAGAAGGTTTCAAACTCATAATCACATACTGACCTTGCTCCATTTTCCAACTTTCCAAGTGGCCATGCGCAAACAGCTGCTAAAATTGCATTTGTAAACCTGAGGCGAAGGCAGCACAGGGCATTCTGGGTAGTCTACAGGCCAAAGCTGATTGAGCTTATCTATCTCATTAGATCGAATTCTAATGCAATACATAATCCTTCGTGGGTAACTAAAGCCACAGTTACCGGAACACTGAAAAATATTTACAAGAGGGAGATGATATCCTTAATAACCAGGGCCTAATATTCACCTTTATATATGTATTTATAGATGTACACATTTATGTGCATATATGTACAAAAATATACACACATTATGCAGTGTTATTCCCACAATAATACTATTCATTAGCTTCATTTATAGATTAGTAAACAAAGGTTAAGAGATATTTGGTAAATTCTCGGGACTGTACCAATAAAGGGAAGGGATCCATTATCCAGGCTAAATTGACTATTTGTACTGGTTTTTTTGTTTGTGGGTTTGTGGGGTTTTTTTGCATTACACTACTAAGACTATCTTAACTGAGTGAAAATTTATGTCCCAAGTAGGCACAGCTTTGGGAAATAAAACATACGTGAAGGTGATTATCTAAAATAAAGGACATTCATTAGGGAACAGCAAACTGACCAGTGTGTACGTACATGTGAGGACACCAACAGAGGCTGAGAAATGAACCAATCAAAAGACACGGAAATCACCTTATCTGGTACTCACAAACTGGCAAACCTTATATCCCTATATTCTACAATACATGGATCTCTCAGAAGGGTCTTGGCACAGCAGAGGGGACTAGATTGACCCTGGACTAAACAACGCAGTAGCCTGAGGTAACAAAGTTTAAGAGTAAGACAAGAAAGGATCAAACTGTCTCCCTACAGATAACTACATTCAGAAACGAAGGTCAAAATATATAAACAGGGATAAAAAATATCCAGTAGCCAAAAAAGGTAAAAGTCATGTCTGGCCAGAAAGTTAACTGGCAGGCAAAGAAGCATGAAAACATAGCCCATCATGAGAAAAAAATTCATCTATCGAAACAGACCAGAGGGGTGAGTAAAAATGGCAGAGGACTCCAAGAATTCCCTCCTTCATAAAAGCCATGAAAAAACTGGCAAAATTTATCAGCATTAACTTTTTCAGAACTCTGGAAGTGAACCAAAGGCTCGCAGCAATTCAGGAAGCATTTATTCAACAAGTCTCAGAAGGGGGAGCTTTGTGATGTTTTAACTTGCCCCATCTCTGTACTCTGTTCCCAAGCTCCACGGCAGCCTGGAAAATCAATAGCCCTACAAACATGGTGGAACCAAAGAGACAGGACAGGGTTGGCTGTCTTTCAAAGATTCCATTGCAGAGACTTATTATTTGAACTGTTTGGTGGTTTTGTAGAAGAACCCACTTGCAAGGCTCTCTTTATTTAACTAAAGCTTACCCAGTGCTGAAAGACTTTTCCCTCCAGGGGCAATTGTTGAATTAAAGGCCATTGTTTAACTTTGCAGAGATCACAGTTGGTGTCAACAATAGGCTAGTCAAAAGAAATTTAAAAGGAAAAGCTGGGTAATGAGATGTTCATATGGGCTTTGAAAAGTTTCAGTATATTCATAGGACTCTAGAAGGTCATGGACATGCACAGGGCTGTATACATGCTCAGGAAGTATCTGAAAAGGGCCTGCACCCCCACCTCTGGTGGCTGTCAAGGCTCTGTAGAAGCAGGATCTCAAGGTTAAGAGTTGTCAGCTGCCTGCCTGAGTATTAAAGGTGCCTACACAGGCACACAGAAGCCCCTGGCAAAAGCTGGAGATTATTGGTTCCAGGGTCTAAGGGGATCACTGTCCAATCAATCACTGAAAACTAAACTAATGAAGCAGTGACTTCAGCGACTACATGTGACAAAGGATACAGACTTTACAGTGAGTTTGGGAAAGTTAGTCAACGAGCTAACAGTAACAACAATAAACCCTGGGAAGGAGGAAGAATGTGAATAGACTGATAAAAAATAAAGAGATTGGATTAATAGTCAAAATATTTCACACAGTGAAAAGCCCAGGCAAGAGGCTTCACTGGTGAGGTCCACCAAATGTTTAAAGAAGAATGAGCATCATCTTTTCCAAAACTCTTCCAAAGGAAAGAAGAGTAAGAAACACTTCTTGATCCATCTGAGGAGGCCAGTATTTCCCTCATACCAAAACCAGACACAGGCATCACAAGAAATCTCAGACCAATAACCTCTTATGAATGTAGATGCAAAAAACCCTCAACAGAATACTAGCAAGAATGTCCAATAACATATAAAAAGGATTATACACCATGACCAAGTGAGGTTTAACATAAGAATGTAAGATCATTTAAATATATGAAAATGAATTAATGGAACACATCTACTTATAGACAAAAACCACATAAGAATCTCAAGAAATGAAGAAAAAGCATTTGACAAAATACATTTCATGATATAAACACAAAGCAAAAACAGGAATAGAAAGGAACTGGTAAAGGGAATCTCCAATAAAAAAAAATCTATAGCTAATGTATGTGTTCAACTTACAAAAATCAGTTCTGTTTCTATGCATTAGCGATGAACAATCAGAAAATTAAATTTAAGAGTACAATTCTATTTACAGAAGCATAAAATTTAATAAAATATTTAGGAATAATTTTAGCAAAAGAAGTGGAAATTCACTTGTACACTTAAAATTATAAAACATATTTGAAAGAAATTAATGAGACCCAAATAAATGGAAAGACAACACATGTCCATGGGTTGGAAAACCTGTTAGCATGGCAGTATTCCTCAGACTCATCAGGATTCAATGCAATCTCTACCAAAATCCCAGCGGGCTTTTTCACAGAAAGGGACAAGCTGGCACTAAAACTCATACGGAAATGTAGGGGACACAGAATGACCAAATACCCTTGAGAAAAGAAAAGCTGGTTCCATCACACTTCCTGATTTCAAACTTACTGTAAAAATTATACTAACCAAGTCTGTGGACATAAGGATAGACACATAGATGCAGGGAGAGAACTGAGTTCAGAAATACGCTTATGATCAGTAACTTCGGACAAGGATGGCGAGATAGTTCAATGAGGAAACAGCAGTCTTCTCCACACATCAAACTGAGACAACTGGGGAGCCACACAAAAAGGATTAAGGTGGATCCCACCTCATATCATATCCACAAACCTATTTGAAATGTGTCAAATACTAAATGTAAGAGCTAAAATGATAAAATTCTTAGAGTAAAATATAGGTGTGAATTGTGACCTTGGATAGTCAATTAGTTTCTTAGATGTAACACCTAAAGTACAAGCAATGAAAACAATAGGTAAATGTGACTTCATCAAAATTGAGTAAGTCTGTGCATCTAAAAGCAGTATAATGGAAGTGAAAGGCAATCCACAGAATGGGAGAAAACACTTACAAATCATGTAACTGATAAAACTTGGGACCCCAAAATTTTATAAGAATTACAGGTCAACCATAAAAAGATGAATCACCCACTTTAAAAACAGGCAAAGAATTTGAATACATATTTCTCCAAAGAAGATGTGCAAATAGGTAAAAAGCATAAAAAGATGCTCAACGTTATCAGTAGAGAAATGAAATTCAGACAGGCAATGTGACACTATTCATAACAACTTGGATGGGTATATTCAAAATGACAGACTATAACAAGTGTTGGTGAGAATATGGAGAATTCAGAATCCTATACATTTCTAGTGAGAATGCAAAATGATGTAGCAATTGTGAAAAAACAGTTTGGAATTTACTTAAAATTAACAATAGAATTATAATATTCAGCAATTCTACTATCTGTAAGCTCAAGAATTGAAAACATAGCCATACACAAACTTGTACACAGATATTCTTCACAGTATTAGTCATTGTAGTCAAAAAGTAAGCAGACCCAAATGTCCCTCAACTGCTGAATGAATGAGCCACTGTATCATAGCCCTACCTATGATGGAAGATTACTCATTCATAAAAAGGAGTGAATTATTGATATATGCTGTACTAAGGAGGAACCTTAAGAATATCACGGTAAGTGAAAGAAGCCATATACAAGAGGTCACATATTGTATGATTTCATATACATGAAATGTCCAAAGCAGGCAAATCCATAGAGGCAAAAAAAAAAAATGGTTGTCTGGGGTTGAGGAAGGATAAAATGTGTGGAGTGACTACTAATGGATATGAAGTTTCTGTTAGGGATGACAAAATGTTCTAGCATGAGATCATGGTGATGTTGCACAAATTTGTGATTATACTAAAATTCCCTAAGTTGTAAGTGCACACACATGGATGTTCAAATTAGCAGAGAAGGACATTAAAAAGTTACTAGTAACTCTAGTATATGTTGAGAAAGTTAAGCCCTGATGGGTGTGAGTCAGTGGATTGAGTGCCGGCCTATGAACCAAAGAGTCACCAGTTCTATTTCCAGTCCGGGCATATGCCCAGGTTTCGGGCCAAGTCCCCAGTAGGGGGCACATGAGAGGCAACCACACACTGATGTTTCTCTTCCACTCTTTCTCCCTCCTTTCCCATCTCTCTCAAACTAGATAAATAAAATCTTTTTTTTTTTAAAGTTAAGTAGAGACATGGAAGATGCAAAAAAGTGTCTGGAGAGCATTATGCTAAGTGAAATATGCCAGGCAGTGAAAGACAAATAGCATATGACCTCACCTTTAAGGGGAACCTAATCAACAAAACAAACAAGCAAGCAAAATATAACCAGAGACATTAAAATGAAGAACAATCTGACAGTAATCAGAGGGGAGGGGTAGGGAATAATGGAGGGAAGGGGGGAAGGGTTTTCAGGAACAATTATAAAGGACACATGGACAAAACCAAGGAGGGGTAAAATCAGGGGAGAGAGGGTTTGATTGGGGTGGAGGTGGGGTAAATGCAGACAACTGTACTTGAACAGCAGTAAACAATTTTTTAAAAGTGTAGTCAAATTTCTAAACATGAAGATTACACACCTGAGGTAAAAAATAGACTGCATATAGAAGAAAGGATAAAGAAGTGAAATATTATTTAATAATAAGTTATTGGTTGACTAAATCTCAAAATACTTATGAGACAGACAAAAATAGTATATACTGTATGATTCCACTTATATAAAAAAGAATGTAAATTAACATAGCAACAGATCACTAAAATAAAAACAGATTAGGTTAACTGTGAGATGGGGAAAGGAGTGGGGGAGAGGAGGGAGGAATACAAAGGAATATAAGAAAATTTAGAGGGATGATAGAGATGCTCTTTATTTATGGTAATGGCTTTATGAGTGTATCCATATGTCAAAACTTCTCAAGCTGCACACATTAAATTTATGCAGCTTACCGTTTGTCAGTCACACCTCAATGTAGCTGTTTTGCAAAAGCAGGCACCTCTGCAGAGCCAGTTTGCCAAACTGTTTCCAGTAGCCGATTTCACAGTTGGGACTGACTGACACTTTGGACCCACGTAGTTTGACTTCCACGTTGCTATTATTCTACATGCGCCCTCCAACTGCCAGTGGTTTTATTTCTTAGATTAATACACACACTGTTATCTGCCCCCATTGTCAAATTTACTCAGTTTCTACTGCCTCACATTTTAGATGCAGATATTTTTTTTCCAGAGGCAAAAATTCTCCACTTCCTTTCTTTGCCTTACCTGAGATGACTCTCCAGTTACCACAATATACTTGCAGGGAAGGTTCTGGCACTTTTTGATCGAAAGAGGTCTGGTTGAAGGATCACAGAAACTTTCATTCACTTGAGTGTTTTGCGCATCTGTGCACTGCACTTGCCGTTGTGTCTCTCTCTTCTTACATGATGTTGAACACTAGAAAAGCAACGACGGGATGAGTAACATGTGCCTTTGCGCAGTGTCTTTGAAAGTTGACTTTTCGATACTCACATCCGACCACGCTCCTGCCACCCACTGGTACTGCCCGCAGTCCTGGCGCCAGCACTGCCTCTGAGAAGAAGGCCTGGTGGACAGGTCACACATGGCCTCAGCCACCCGGCCAGCACCTCTCAGTCTGCAGTACACGTCCCTCTGCTGAACCCCAGGGCCACAGGTCACGGAGCACTACGAAGAAGCCCAAGAGATTTGAACAATTCACTAACAAATATCCAACTATGTAAAAATGCCAAGAGAGTGTCGCAGCATAACTTCGTTTCATTTAAACATAGCTTGATATGTCATACGTTAGATAGAAAACACATGCAATAATTATTTTCAAGATTGGTGTGAAGCATCTATACAAATATACAAATCGATTTTATTTTGAAAAACCTGTTCAAGTCTTCTGGAAACTATGGCAGGTTATATGACGCATTATAAACAGGCATTCCAGCAGATTAACAACACTGTCTTCTGACTTAGATATGTAGTATCTATAAAACCACACAGCAAAAGGTGTGGTACATTGTTTTTAAACACCACTTAAATCCTTAAACTGTATGTATAATCTTTCTCAAAGAAGTCATAATTTCCAAGATTATCTTATGTTCATCTTCGTACCTGCAGGGCCTACTCTAGTTTGGGGATCCAATTATTCGCTGATTTGTTGGTTCATGATTACATTCCAATGGACATATTTTGGGAAGCTTGTTGTGTAAACATAAACTTAGACAAACTTGCCTTAACCTCTCCAGGTCTCATTTTTCTTATCTGGACTGTGAAGGTTTTATTTTTGTAAAATCTTGTAGAACACTTCCCAGTCCTGGCAACAGCTCTACAGTGGAGATACTGGGGCCAAGGACAGAGAGGCAGAGATGTTAACTCACGTGCCTGAGCTGCTGCCTCTAGTTAGTGGGGAAGCAGGTTGAGTCCAGACTGCAGGCTCTGCCTGGGCTGCTGGGGGTGGGGGCAGAAAACTTGGCAACCCCTCAGGGCTCTCTCAGCTCTAGAATGGCGGCTGGTACCACAGCAGAGCTTGACCACACCCAAGCTGTGATGCCAACTTAACAAAGTATGGAGAACATCCAGTGATATATTTAATTTGTGAGTTTTTTCAATGCTCCTTCTTATTCCAGAAGGGATAGAAAGTCACATCAAGTGCTATTTGGGGGACTTGTCACCATTGCTGACTGTGAAGTGATAAGGGTAAAAATCAGGTTCTTTCTTAAGTTCTCCATTTCTGTGGGACTTCCAAAGTCATCTCTTTTTCCACAGCAGTAAATATTTATCTGCAGAATATGGTTTTACTCTGAATGACAAGTAAAATCTCACAAAAGCTAAGAATTTAGTTCACCTGGAAGACTTCAATTCCTTTCTCAGGTGGTGCAGCATTTTTATTCTAAAGGCACATTAAAATTGTTTTTTATTGTGTGTATAAGCAGAAACAGACCCCAAAGATAACTTTTATTTAACCTACAAAGAACATTATGCATATGTGCCTAGCTTATATTTGTTTTAGGTTTGAACAGTTTGATTTGTGCCAACCCACTGAATGTTTTCATAAATAAATACATATAAATAAATAAAACATACCGCTCCTCCCCATGTTGACAATAACATTACATATGTTTTGTGCAGGGCACTGTATTAAGTAGAAGACAATATATGTGTGTTGTTTAGCTCACCTGAACCTCTTGTGAAAACGTTTAACCTGCAGAATAAGTGTCCTGCAAACATTTTACAGGTATAATTTTAGAAATATAAATTACATTTGGAAAACTTCCTGCCTCTAAACCTGGGGGAAAAAAAACTCGCAAAACACAGCTTAGTGAGACACTGAATCAGACGACCTGATTTTCTGCAGTTTGATAAACCACGCTGGCTTACTGCCGCTGTGATCACAGTGTGCGTGTGGAGCCAAGACCACGGGTGACACTACGGGGGCCCCTTCCCTGAGAGCAAACAACATGGACTACTGCCTGGAAAAAACAAGCAACATTTGTTTTTTGCTTTCTTAGAGATCAGAGTATAAAAGAGTGAACGGATGCAATTTTAGATTTGGACAGATAATTTATGATGTAAGTGAAATATTTCTTAGTCTGATCTCATTGATAACCCTACTTGCCAAATCCAATAAAAACTTTTCAGGTCATTTCTGAATCCCACCGACACATTCAGCACGGCCGACCACCTCCTGTAGAGCCTTTCTGGCTTCCAGGAGTGAAATCCTTCTGGCTCCAGAGCCTCCCCTCTTCTGAGATTGCACCTTCTCCAAGTTCTTAACTGACTCTATTTTCTCTGTTTAGCCTTGAAACCTTAGCGTATTTCAGGGTTCCATCCTGAACCCTGAAATATAACTTGTTCCTCTTTGCACACTCTGTGAGCTCTGAGCAATTTCTTCTGTGCACCTATTTCTAAATCAGTTCCCTCCAGTCCTACCATAATTCTGAGTTCTACATTTACATTTCCACATCTTTACAAGAATTTTTCATGTATTTACCAGAATGTTCATGTGTTTTCTGCATGCATATATCAAAGGTGTTTGAAATTCAGCATCTCCAAAGCAGAACGTATTACCCTGGCACAGCCCATTCCTCCTACAGTCATGCTGGGAAGAGATGATCACCCACTCTTAGTCCAGTGACCTGCTGGAAGAACTTCCCAACATACATCTCACCCCAAAATATGCATCTTTATTTAACAGCTTTGTAGTACTGTTTATAAGCATTTTGTGTGAGATTATAGTTACAAGTATAACACAAATACTTGATGGGAGTGCACTAACTCACCAACACTGTATAATTCAAATCAGATAGGAAAAATTAGTTAAATATCCTATTTGTACATAAGTATACTATAACACTGCAAAGACTGGCATCTGAAAAACTTGACAGTGGAAGTGGAGAAAGTGAATTTTAGCCAATCCATAGTCACTACAATCAATTTAACTATATTGAAGAGGAGAGATAAGGAAATGTTAGAACGTGCATTACAAAAATAGTTTCATCAAAGCTGACTCACTCTGCTGTTTGATAAACAATTATTTCAAATATAAGTAGTGCCCTGGCTGCATGGCTCAGTTGGTTGGAGCATGAACCAAATGGTTGCCGGTTCGATTCCTGGTCAGGGCACCTGCAGGGTCCATCCATGGATGGGGTATGCGTGGGATGCAACCAGCTGATGTTTCTCTCTCACATCAGGGTCTGTCTGTCTCCCCACTCCTGACTTCTTCTCTCTTTAAAATCAATTACAAATAATAAAATGCAAATAGTGGTATCTCATCTCTTGATTCATTATTTATAAATTCTTATTACTGGAGTAAGGTTTTGGTTTTGTTTTAGTTCCTTATTTGTAACTATAATAAAACCAAAGGTTTATTTCAAGTGAATCAATAATGTAGCAGTATATTAATATAGCAGTAGAGAATTTTGAGTTAGAAAAGAGTTTAGGAATGTCTTATCCCAATTCCTCTTCAATTCTGAAATCCCCTTTATATTAATAGTGAGTAAATGGCCATGAAGCCCATTATACTTGTGTAACCTCAGCCTCAGTGTGTGCATGGTGTCATGAAAGCTGTCATTCCATTTTGGATCATTCTAAGCTAGCAAACACTTTCTTATATTGCGCTGAAATATGCCTTAATCTTTTATCTACTGTCCAGAATCTTTCCTCCTTACCAACCTACAACAAATACATATTTACTTTCACATGAGAAAGTATGAAAGTGAAGCCCGGGACTGTGACAGCTATTTTACGACCATTAGGAACTGCCCGGCAGAACCCAGACAGGCCGGCCCCTCCCGCTGACACTGTGGAGCTGCTGATTCAAACTGGAAACCAGTGGCCGTCCAGCTCCCAGACTATACATTTGTTTGAGTGAAGACACAGACAATCAGGGCTCTTCCTACTTGCAATAGACGTCAACAGAACTGATCCAGAACAGTTGTCCTCGTTTAACTGTGCCTTTCTGGGGATTTGGAATTTGTTAAGACTTTTCTTATAACATCAGTCCCAGAACAGGTACTGCTCCAAACCTCTGACCAAGATTACCGGTGCCACTGATCTGTCAGTGTACTCTAATACGCTGCCAGTGACGTGCACAGCCACATATTTCCTGTGCAATCAACTACACCCTCATTTCCCCAGGTCCTGTAACATCCATCTATACATGTTATATTTGTGCAACAGACTTTTTAAAACATAAATAAGCATGCACGGAATTCAGTACAACATACAAGTTCCATTTCTGTTGAATGTATTATGGTATGTAGTGCAATAACAGTCTGCAGTTACTGACTTCGGGCGCCCTTCTGAGAGGGGCAGTATGTTGCTAAGGAAACAATGAGCTATGTGCAGTGATGGTAATGAAATAATTCGGACAGCAACGACAGTAAGGAAAGTTCAAGGAGGCCTGTGTTTCAGTGCCTGTGCCCCACCACTTCTGGCGTGGCATCTGCACAAGCTCTTAAGCTGTAGTTTCCTCGTCTGCATAATGAGAGCAATAATGCCTGCAGCTGCAAGGAATACAGAAGCCTCTCACACAGTGTCAGGAAGTGGCTCTTCCTCCCCGCCCCATTCCTATTCCCATTTTTCACTTTTCTTACAGAGAGATACTTATTTCTGCCTTGCAAAGTTTCTTGCTACATGCCTCGAACCAAAAAGTGTTGGTCATCTCAGAGTACTCAAAGAAAGGCCATCTGAAGTATAAGAAAGATGATAAACAGAGTTAACAGGTAGCATAGAACTGCAAAAACAGAACTGCTGGCACAAATTGGAAAAGATGAAGAAGCACAGTTCGCCCAGCCCCAGAGCGAACAGACGTCCTCCCTATCCCGGGGCTGCTGCCTGTCTTTACTGGTATGAACAACCCTTAACCTGGGTGTAGAGATGGAAAGGTTCTGGGTTCTTGGCCAGGGGCTGTGGGGACTTAATATATATGGGCACATCAGAAATTTTTGAAAAATATAGATTTACATACGTTTGGAAATACAGAAAATATGAAATTACCAAAATACAAAATCACTTAAACATGCTAGCATTTAGCATGTAGTTTCTTTTTCAAACTAGAGGCTCTGGGAAAGGGGGCACTGGCTAGTAGATTTGTGAGATGTTGGAACTCGTACCACCGTTGGTTCCAGCTTTGATCTTAAAATACTAGAAAAAAATGATAGGCCTCGGAGGAGGGACGCCAGGCAGGTGACTGATGCCATGGGTTCCAGACTCAGCAGGGTATTCTTCGGGTAGTTGCTGAGATTTTTAGTATCTTTATAATTTGTGCACAGGTTTGCCATGATCAAGGGAAAGTGAGAATTCTAAACTTTTTTCTTTTTTTTAATCATAAAGATTTCTTTGGATTGCACCGAACTAAGTAGATGAGACATGAGACAATGAAGAATCTAGCAACATTTTGGCCTTTAAAACTTGAATTTACAGGTTGTTGGGAACTGCCCCGCCTGGTTTCAGGAGCTCTAACCCACCCCCACGCCCCATGCCCCACACCCTGCTGTGGCTAAGGCTGATTGAGTGACCTTCAGACCGTAAGCCACTAAGGAGACAAAGCTTCTCCCCCTGGCAGGGGCGCTGCTTCTGCTCCTTCTACTTTCCCCTGTCTGGCCCCCAATGCTGGATCTGTTAGCCAATGATGGGTAAGAGTCCCAAGGGGGGATGACCTAAGTCAGACACAATCACATGGAGGCCCCAGGGAAGGACTTGGGGGGCTATAGCTAAAGGGGGTGATGGACTCTTACCCCTCAGCTTTGACATAGCCTGAGTCCTCATTCTGTCTGCAAGAAGCCTCCTAATCTCTTGGCTGCCTTACTTCCCCTGCCTGACTTAAGCCTGAAACAATGCTGGTGGTGGGTACTGCCCAGTAATGGAAATGGCAGATTCCCTAGGGCAATCAGGCCTAAGAAAGAATATGTAAAATCCTGTGAAACCTGCTTTGTTTAGAAAGCTCTCAATTAAATAAGGATCCAAGCAAGAAGTGAGTTTGTTCCTCAAAGTTTTATAGCTCTTTAGCTGACAGACCCTGACTCAGAATAGGCCCTCAGAGTTCTTTGTTATGTAATGTTTGATCCTTGCTGCCTGACAATGATCAATGAGCTTTACCTGTATTCCTGTGCAAAACAAACCCAATAAAAGCCCATCGAGGAAAAGGCTCTTGGCCCTTCTCCTCTGAGAGATCAGCCACCTTTCCTCCCCAAGCAGATCATGTCTTGGTAGACTTATTCTCATCTGTGATGTGGGCGGGGTGGGGGAGGGGGTGGGGGGCTGTGGGTGGAACCCACCACAACAGGTGAAACTGGCATTCCAAAATAGGTGAAGTGGGAAAAAATGACCCTTTTAGCTCCAGAAAGGAAGGAATACTTCTAAAAGAAATAATTCTAGTACTTAATTTGCCTCTAAATGTATACACGTGGCCCAGAGGACAACACTTATTCCCATTTAGCAGCAGCTATTAAAATGCATCCCTAAGTCCTTTCATTAAAAAAAGACATGATACCAAGTACCAAGTGGAAAGTGTTACTTCGAAACTCATTTGAGCACCTCTGTGGTCACAATCTGCCAAATGAGCTTTTTCATGATGTAAAATAGTAATGAAATAAAGTTATTTTATAGTGAGTGAGTGTATGAAGGCAATGTTACAATTTATGTAGTCAGGACAAAGTATTCAACAGCAACCAGTGATTATCTCCTAACTGCCTCTGAAATTACACTTCTATGAATGTATTATTATATGCAGTGCAATGACAGCCTGCAATTGTTAATTAACTTCAAGTGGTGCTTTTTATAGAATAAATCAAAAGCCAACGACTTCACAAGTGGTCATTTGTCTCTGGCAGAGATTGGGGGACTGTGTGGGCGTAAGAAGCTAATTTCTGTGACAAGGAAAACCAATTCAAAGAGAAGAAAGCTGACTCTGTACAAAGGCATCTGTGTTTTTATAGCCTTTGAATATTCATATCTGTATCTTAGAAACCCCTGAACTCCATTCCTTTAGCGAATCTATAGCATTTCATACTCGGTGGTAAGCCAAGGCCAGTTTGCTACACTGATGACTGACTCCCTGTTGTGGGGCTGGAGGTCAAGCTTCAAAAAGGGTCCCTCCTGAATAGCGACTGCAGCAGCTGCACGGCAGCAGCAGAAGGCTGGACATGAACAGGAATGCTGGGGCGAAGGTGCAAAGTGTCTCTCACTTGCACCCCCACCCCCAGCAGCTCCTGCCCGATGTCAGGATCGGAAGTGTCTGCCACAGGCTGGGCCCAGTGCCTTAAGACTGCTCCGCTACCCTGTTGGGAAAGCCTGTTGGCCATCACTCTGCCACATCCTGGTCCAGATAAAGTCAGGCAAACCTCATTTTAAGCAAAAGCGTAATATGGAAAATACAACTAATGCATTGAGGTGGCAAGTCTTTTTTTTTACAACTAAATCACAATATTCAAAGTAGGAAATATTAAGCTAGATACTTAGCTAAGTGCTTAGAGAGCGAGATACCTGTTGTCTCTAAGGTTTGCTGGCCCAGGGTAATGCGGAAGTAGGAAGCATGGGTTAGGTCTTGGACTTACCCCCTGAAGGCAATGGTAAGGCATAGAAGATACAAGTGACACAGTCATGTTCAAGTCCTCTGGAGCTCACACTCTGTGCAAGTAAATAATGGCAAAGATGTGTGTAAGGAGGCCTCTGTGCACCTGGGGACGGATGATAATCGACTGGACAGAGGTGGTTGTAGGAAGATTCAGGAGTTACCCTGATAGAATTGAGAGGAGCTGTTGAGAAACTCGTGGTGGGGTTGAGGGGAAAGGAGACAGGCTGGTTCAGTATTGCTTTCTTGAACAACTCGGTAGTGTGGTGGCATTCACTAAATAAAACAGGTTAGTGGGAGATCTTTTAAGTCATGAACTCTACTAAACCCTGAAAAATGGTGTTACCTTACTAAAGTTAAATATGGAAGCAAATGCTCAAGAATACATGTTTTGTGGGCAGATGTGTTTGCCCCTACTTTTCAGCCAAATGCTATCCCCCTCTCAGTCCCTTAACACCGATGGAGGCTGCCTCTTTTACAAAGGAGTCCAGGATGTTCGCTGAATTTGGGGGCTTTTTTATTCAATGACAATAGCACACTGACCCCATGGCACTCCAAAGCCAGCACCCTGCACCGAGGCTCTGAACCCACAGAGGAAATGGTGATGACTTAGAAGTCTAGGGGAGCTCTACTTTTTCTCTTGTCTGAGCCCTTATTTTTCTAGTAAACACAGTTCTAACAGCAGACAGAGACAAGGAAATTCCATCAGCAGAAAATAGGTTTCTTTTTCCCTTCACTGGGCAAGGCCCTTTAAGACACAAACAGGTAAGCACCCTAAGGTCCTGCTGAGAGCTGCCACAAGGCAGAGTTGAGAGCCCAACCCACTAAAATCAGGCCTCGGGAAGTTCTTCCACCTAATGTTTCTGACTTCAATCATGGCCTCGACTCTTTCAAATTTCCCAAGCTGGTCTTCATGTGACAACCATGTTGAAAGGCATACCTCCCCCAATGTAGATTTTCAAGCTTTCCGCCCAGAGTTTGCCAGGGCAGCCATCAATCACCGTTCTTTTTCTTTCATAAGCCGAGTTCTCAGCCTGGAATTCACTTACGAATCAGCTTCATCGTGGCTGACTTTTTCCAAGTGTGTGTGCATCCCAGCCTTGGTCGGGGCTGGGTAGCTAGTTCTGACACCTAACATTCAGTCTCCAATGAAAATTCCCTCTGGAATTTAACAGTCCCTTTACCAAGATGTAACATTAGCTCAAATCCAAGACTTTGGTGTGGAAACAAAGCAGTTACTAAACACACCGTCACGTGTATTTTACTGTTAGAGTACCTGGAACAATATGATGAGTAGCCCCCCTAGTATTAAGTAATAGAATTTCTTATATACTTTACAGCCACAAGATATTAAATGACTAATTGGTTAACTACAGAGTTAGCAAATATTTTAACATCGTACAGAATTAATTCAGGGATTCGTGAAAAAATGTATAACAGAATAGAATAAAGTGTACTTCAGTGGAAGAAAAGATTCAAGGTTATTGAAAGCACAGAAAATAAAGATACTATTTTTAAATGCAAAATACATATATACATATAATTATAAAATACATCACATACCTCTTTCCATCTGTTGGCTTTCCATGACGGGCATCTGACAGATCTGCAAGCTTTGTGAGTTCGAGGTTTCCGTAGATGACTGCAAAATTTTTCTTCTAATTTCCCTTGATTTCGGTCAATACAAAGCACCTCACGATACTTGAAACCTTTACCACAAGAAGCTGAACACTAGAAAACAAATATTAATGCACTCGATTCAATTTATCTTAATTTAAATTTATCTACATGTATAAAATGAAGCCATTGAAACATCATTGCTTTGATATTTTTGTTAAGATATGCTTTGATATTTCTAATTAGAGAGAATTTTAACAGTTACGACTCTGCTCTGGATTGCTGTTGATATCATAAGGTATCCATTCATTCCATTGAAAAACACCATCTATGATGTACCAAGCACCTTTCTGGCACAGAAATGCTTTTAGATCTTTTAAAGTGACAGACTCTCTGAAGTTAACTCCTCTTATCGCACATAATCCAACAAAACTTGCTTTCAGTTTTGTATGGTCACCACCTCTTCTATGTTTCACACTGCAAAGTAGGTATGGGATGTTTAAAAAAATGCAGCGATCTCTCAGTGCAGGAAACAGTGATCCAGGAAGCTGAAAGCACACATTTTTTAAAGTGCGATTCAGCTTGGGTTGGCTCTTTGCATCCATCTGGAAGCTGTATCTCTCTACCTTTAACCATCCAATATATTTAGTAAAAAAGCAATGACAATCTCTGTAAAGATAGAGATTGTAAAACAATTACAATCTCTGTAAAGAGAGATTTGAATTCACTCTCAGCCGGTGGCCACGTGCTGCGTGAGGTCAGTGCGATGCAGGGGAAGCGGGCTCTGTGTTGACCACCAGCTCCACCGCCTACAGCCACGGTCACTTGGGCACATTTCATCACCTGCCCGAGCCTCGGTTTCATTTATAAAAAGGGAATAGTAACACCAACATTACAGGTTTATTATGAAGATTTACATCAGATAAAAAATATGAAATGTCTAACAATCTATCCCACGTGGTATACCCTCAATAAGCGTAAGCTTCCTCTTCTATTATCTTCCTCCATATAGTCCCCTAGAGGATAACAACCGAGAGCATGATATATGTACCCGGGAAAAGTCAGGCAAAGAAGACATGAATTCCAAACAAGCTCTCTCAGAACTCTGAGACAGCCTTTCCCATATGGTTTCATTTAGAAGCATATGACTTCTGAGAACATTAGATAATATTATGAATTTTATGTATATTTTCAAAGACTGTTAGGCCAATACAGATTATTAGATTACTTTGCTTAAAAAATTTGGAATAATTTAGCTTTTTATATTATCTGCCATACTAAATCCCATTTGCGTAGACAGTTGATTTAAATCGTTGTCTTGATTAGTAAGACTTATTGCTATATATCTGAGATGTTCTCTTCCCTTCCCATTAATACAAACAGCCTTTACAGTCCACTTAACAGACTTGACTTTGTGAAAGTCTCTACAGGTCTCCATCCACTGCGTGGTGGATGTCCTTCCCTGGCTGTTCAGACCCGCCCACCAGTGCACACTCAGCTCTGCTGGGCAGTCCCCTGACTGTTTCATTACTTCACTGTTTATTTTTCACAAAGTGTAACATATTTTAGGCCCAAAACATCATATATCACCAAGTATCAAACATATACTGTCAGGGATTGTACATTCATATTCACACATAGAAGAATGTTCTCTCTCAAGGTGTATTTTTTTTGTAACTTTTAAATGGTGACCATTTGAACAAAAGAAAATTCATTGCTCTGTTAACCCATTTTAAAAAGTAATAAATATTTTGAATATATATTATAGCAATACAGTAGTACTTGTGAAAATGGAGGAGTGTTATTTTATTCATTATGAACATTTTCTACAATACACTAAGAGGTACAGATTCTTTAATAACTACTTCTTGCTTTTGCCCTTGATTTTTCCTCAAAGTGCTCGTAATCTGAATGACACATGCCATCTATTAAATAAACAATGCCAGAGCGGATCTTAAACATTAAGCCCAATAAAGATCAGCCAAAAAAGTGCTATAAGACACTAAAGACCATTAAAATAATACAATAAATAATTATAATGGAATTGACAAATTCATGAAAACTGGTCATTTCTCTCTGAGCTATTTCATAAATAGTAAAGGAGAAAGTGACATTTAAACTCAGTCTTGAAGAAGTGGGTTTGTTGATATGCCAAAATGGATGTTTTTATATTTCAATATATCTTTTCTAGACATTGCTCAGGTGTCTGTTTTGTAAAAATATGAGTTCTTTGGTGCCTAAAATCCAAGAATCACTCAGTAAGCATACAGTAAACTCTTAAGAATAACTGATTCATTTGCAAAACTATATATGTAATGTAAGAGGAGACATTAAAAATTCTACTCTAGAATTTATCAGTGTATCTTCTCTATAAGAAGTATCTGTGAATGGACTGTAAACTTGGACATTGTAATACACTATCAAAGTTGAGAATATACAGGTTTGGGAAGAATAATCTAACTAGAGGCCGCCTCTGATTCTTTCCCTTCATTATTGTAACCTGTACCTAAGCTATTAAACATAATTTTAAACATACTGCTTTTTCCCCTCAAGAACTGACAATGGCTCTCTTCCTTGATTTCTTGAGCCACCTAATTTCAGTCGACATACCTTTCCAACCTTGCTTTCTGTTACTTTTCAACATGTGACCTTTGCTCTACTTAGGCATAATATACTCACTTCTATTTAATGTGACATGTTCACTCAACAACAGTGCCTTACTCATATTGCTTCCTTTTACCTCCACGAATCACTTTCCCCTGGTGCTTTCTAAATCTCACTTACCCTTGAAACTCTCAGTCAACTGCATTTCTAGGGTAAACACTTACCAGTCTTTCATTTCTCTGAACTCTTCTGTCTGAGGCTCACTCTGTCTTTAGCACTTCATCATGTTCTACTTTTGTCACATGCTTTATCTACCCCGCCTTCTAGAGGTCAAGGACCTTTGAGATCACCCACGAAGTGGCAAGCACAATAAATATCAGCCGATTAATTGATGTTGATTTTTAGTATAAGCAATTCGTATTTGTCTTTAGTAAACTATAAAATTATTAAAACACTATAGATTCCTGAAATGTATTTATTGGTTAATAAACTCAAGTGCCTCTAGGAAACGGACAAAAAATACAAAATCAAAGTATTATGATATAAATTATGCTTTCATTCCCCTTCTAAAATAGAGCTCTCTTTCTTCAAGATCTGAAGAAAAATAAGATTATTTAATTATGGCTGATTAAATCTATGTAGGGATTTAAATGAAAAAGAACATGCAAGCATTATGGATTAGTTGAAATGAAGCAATATTAGAGTAAAAAAATAGTTAAACGCTATCCTACTTCTCTCAAACCACAACGCATTCTGAGTTGTAAATATTATACAAAAAGCCCTGGCTGGTGTGGCTCAGTGGATCGAGTGCCAGCCTGCAAACCAAGGGGTCGCTGGTTTGATTCCAATCAGGAAACATGCCTGGGTAGCAGGCCAGGTCCCCAGTAGAGGGTGCATGAGAGGCGACCACACATTGATGTTTCTCTCCCTCTCTCTCTTTCACCCTTTCCTTCTAAAAACAAAATAATAAAATCTGTAAAAAAAAAAAAAAAAAGATTCCACAAAGCCCATTTGATAGGAATACCCCAGGATGTTGGTTCTTTTCTCTGGTACACCAGCAATCTTTTTCTCCCTCTATTTCATATCCTTGATATCATTCTACTCCATTGAGGTTTTACTAGTACAGTAAAATTCATTAACAGGAGTCTCATGAAAAGAATTTTTCTTAAAAATCACCTCTATCATCCTTAGCTGACATCTTAAATTCTTTCTCAGATTTTTTTTTGTATGACTGCTATGGAAGAGTGGTATAGACTCCAGAAGTAGCAACATTAAATATGAGTACCCTAAATTAACCGTTCCTAGAAACTAGGCGAACACAAATGTCTATTTAAGGAAAACAGGGCAGTTGAAACAAATAGAGAATTTGCAAGCCCCAAAACTGTAATAGATTTTCCAGTTATTCAGTTTGGCTGGTGCATTCAATACCACAGTGAGAGTTGCGACCAGTGAGTCCACTCTAATACACAATTAACTTTGGAACAAGTCTACTCTTATTTTAAAATTTAGTTGTATATAGTGACAGAATAAGATTACTTCTGATATTTGAGATGTGGGATACTACTTTGTTTACATATAAGAATACTACATAAGAGTGATTGAATAGGCTTAATTCATGATACATTTAGTTAACTCTAGAAACTTAAATTGTTAAACAGAATAAGGACATAAAACTTATTTATCTTCAGTTCCAGAAAACAGAAAACACTGTGTGTATGTGTGTGTTGGGGGGGGGGGCTTTCATAAACTATTACGCCTATCTGACTTTCTGTCCTCTCTAGAAGTGGTGGGAACCATACCAAGAGAATTGGCATGGACCCTAATAAGCAGTGTGATGGCCCTGAAAAATGCAATTACTTCACTATGCCTGAGTCAGGCATAAGAGCCTTCATAGACCTTACAAGCCAGATTGATACCCACAGGCAACTTATATAACCTCACTGAACCTCCAGTTTTCATATGTAATATTGGCAAAATATCTACATCCTGTAAATATTTAGGTAAAGAAGGGACTTTTAGAAACAGAATGGCCAAACTCAGAAAACCCAAAAGACAAGGATGCTCACTCTCCCCATTCCACTGAACATAGTATTGAAAGTCCTAGCAACAGCAATCAGATGAGAAAATAAAAGACACCCAAATTGTAAAGAAAGTAAAACTGCCCCTATTTGCAGATGACATAATACTATATGTAGAAAACCCTAAAGATTCCACCAAAAAACCAAATATAATTAATGAATTCAGTAAAGTTGTAGGATACAAATGAATATTCAGAAATCTGTTGCATTTTAATACACTAATGACAAATGATCAGAAAGAGAAATTAAGAAACAATCCCACTTACTTACATCAGAAAGAATAATATACCCAGGAATAAGTTAAAGAAGTAAAAGACCTGTTCTCTGGAAACTGTGCAACATTATGAGAGAAATTGAAGAAGACAGAAATAACAGGAAGGATATATTATGTTCATGGATTAAAAAAATGAATGTTTATGCCAATTAATATAT